GGTGTATGGAAAAAGTTGTTCGCCCCAAGCCATTTTCTATACCGTTAGCGCTTGGACCAAAAGACGTTAGCAAATTTCGTAAAAATCTCTAAACTTGATGCTTTTAGACAGAAAGACGGACAGAAAAGCCTTCTCCTAGAAAAACCTAAAAACACTTAAATGGATTAAAGTTATTTTTAAGCTTCAGACGAACTTTTTGTACTGCCTTAATAAGTGTGCTTCAGTCGTAAGAAAATTCAATCGATCAACCGACTCCAAAATCGGTTTTCACGGGTTCGATCAACCGTCGGTTGCAACCTGTAGGCTGAACATAGAAACAAGTCGGACAGATGGATGGACGGACGGACAGACAGAGAAGTTTAAATCCATTCAGACAGCAGGTCTGAATCCACCCGTTTCATAAAAGCGAGGTCTATCGCGAGACGTTCTGGTTGTTTCACAAACACAAGTGTGGCAACTGACGCAATATGCTCAAAATTTCACCTTTTTACTCAAGCTTTGCCCTCATGAGAGTTGACATGTCCATATGCAAAGGCTAAATCAACAATGATTTACTTGTTTTATGGAAATTAAAAACGAAACGGCGAAACTTGTACGTTTCTATAGTTAGTGCGATGGCGGCAATTTTGTAAATAAAATTTTAGAGAAAATTCGATCAAACATAAAACGCCGTCAATACTGTCAATCCAATTACCGTTAAATGGAATTAAATAGAAACTTGGAAATAATAGAAAGGAATTCTCAAATAGCATTCGTATTGAAACGAAAAATAACAATTGTACATAGACTCTTTTCCCATCTCTTTTTTTTGTTGTTGTTTTTTTTATCCTTTGATAGTCTTAAAAACTTATAAGGTTAATATGAAAAATTTAATTTGCTGTGCAGGATTTTTATACATGCAACGTGGAGAGAGAAAAGTGTAAACAATATTTTTTGTGAACAAGATTTACTTATTTGCTAGTCCATTTGTCAGGCTATTTAAAAATTGATATGATAAGTGTGTTGTCATAAGCGGAAAACCAGAAGTGAAAAAATCAAACACTCGTAAATGCTTAAATAAGTTTAGCGTTGCAAGTAAGAAGCCTTGAAACACGTGGGGGAGCCTGCGAAAGTTACATTTTAGGCGTTTTTTTTTTGTATTAAAATGACTTGTTTTAAAAATATGTACATTTAGGGGACTGAATATACGGTGATTAAGGAGCATAGGTTAGTAAAAAGGAGAAGTTGGATTCACTATTTCGTGGTGTTTGTATTCTTTGCTTCAAATATCTTCAGGCCGGTCAATAAGTCATTTCGCACAGAAGGACATAACATCTGGAATCGATTGATCCTTTTGTTTCTGTTTGTTTCTTGAAATCGCAATCGACTAAAATCGGAAATCATTCTCCAGAGCGTAAAACTTAAATTTAAGTATTTCTTTCCAAAATAAGTTAAGATTTTGACTTTTGACACTTTATCTCACTGCTTTGATAATTGTCAGACCAAGCGAAGTGATTGATTAGAATCATGACTGCATTTTAAAAGACACTAAGCAACTCTTGTCATGGAAAGCTTATTTGTTCGGTAATGATGGGAGACGTCGAAATGAATTGTAAATGAATGCTTTTAAGATTCATTCAGAAATTCCACTTTAGCACTTGAGTAAATAGATGAAAGGACGGTTGAAATATGCGCATTAAGTTTCTTCGATTGTATGCAATATCTAGAAGAATATGGGATGGATCCATCTTTTATTATACCGATCGATTCATAGTTACATTTTGAATCGTGTCAAATTTGTCTGTCCGTCTGTCCGTCTTGTTTTCTCGTGTTCAACCTATCGCAGTTTTTTAAGTATATCGATGGAGTTTAATGCACTTACATGGTTTGGCCCGAGGAGGAAATCTATTGAAAATGATTCGGATGAGACCACTTTTTCGATCATTTCCTAAATAACACCTTATCTTGAAAATTCATTACATGAGTACTCGTTGGATGATTGATGTAAGATATTTAATTGTTCTTTGAAGCCAGTGATAGATGTTAGATATCCTGGTCTAGGCCGTATATCGTTTCCTTTTTGTTGCCTTCCAACCGGAGATCTATATGAGCGAAATAAAATCATAACACATCATAGTCGAGTGCATCCAGCTGGTTATATTGTGTCCTGGCGTCTGATTCTGCAGATGGCCTCACTTTCACATAGTCCTTTTGTATGTTCCTTGGCAATGGAAACTGCATGAAGGGGTTACTTCTTCTTAGTAGCAGCCATACCGGAAAATTATATGTATGTTTTTGCCTGCCTTTGTTCCTCTCATTGCCATTGGCGGGCAATACAATTTTTTCTGTGCCCATTGCCATTCCAATCTTTTAATATGGCTTCTTGGTACACCACAGAAAGATTTAATGTCTATCAGTTAGCCCTTTCGTTGCCCACAACCCCCGAATGACCAGGTACCCATATTAGGTGCACTTCATTGTGTCTGCCTAGCCCGTTCAGTGTGTGAAGGCGCTCCAACACAAGCCTAGATGTTATCATTCGGCCCTCTAGGGACTTTAAGGGACTTGGCCGTTCTCTCCTGTACTGCCTTCTTAAGCATTCAGAGGCACTTGCGGCGATTGCGTAGACTTCTGCTTGGAATATGCAGAAACTATATAAACTCTGAGGAATTTAGAGTCCGCTTTCAGACAGATGACTGGCGAGTCAATTTCGAAAAATTTATGGGAATAATTATTAATTTTTGAAGCATTTTATTACGCTGATTAGATCTCATTCCGCTTGACCTAAACTCCATTCTACTTTTCATTATAGTTTTGAGCGCTATTTTTACAAAAGTAGTGCGAGGTACCGCCTGGCAAATTTACTTATAAAAGTTAATATCACAAAATGAATATTTGATAAATTACCGTTTTTTAAATGTGTTTGTGAAAATTTAAAGAAAAACTTGATAAATTTGAATGAAGTAAAACAAACTTTCCTTTCATTTAAAATTTTCATAATTTTTCTTCTTATATTTGCATAAAGAATTTAATTGATTTTCAACACTACGTATATATATATATATTTATATATACATATACGCAAGAGTATCATTATGACTATCATCATTCTCAGTGAAATAATCATTTTAAGCAGGGTCATCCGTTTGGTTAGTTTGTAAGGTAATCGTATATGTGACCCAAGGCCTTCATTACATTATATATAGTATGTTCGCATACAGTGGCACGTACACAATCATACTTATAGTGTTAACATTTACATTTCATCAGATGAAAATGGGAGAAAAAACTTTTACTGCTCGTCCTGAAAAACATACACATGTACCTACGTTTTGCACACTATGCGAAATTAATTTTCAATTTGTTTTAAATAAATAATAAGGTACAAATTGCAAAATTTAATTTTAATTTTTGTTGTTTATGCGATTTTGTTGTTGTTTTTATACTTATGAAAAAAGCAACAACCGAATGCGAAAAGAGAAAGAAAAAATAAGAAGAGATTTTTAGTTGAGAGACTGGTAAGGAGATGTCATTTAAAACACTTGCCATAAAAGGACTTTTGACTCAACTCGTTATATTAAGTTGCGAGACAACAAACAACTGCAAGAATAATAATAAAAACATTAACGATGATGATCAAGTTAATGCTGTTTATGTTCTTTTATAAATTACTGTTGTAAAAAATAATCGGATTACAGTTTATATGTATGCACAGAGGTATTCATATTTGTACATATATATATATATATAGGGGAACATATGTGTACAAATATATATATATATATGAACATACGTTGTGTGTATACGTATATGTGTATATGTATTGAGTCTAGTTAAATGAACAGATACGTATATATGTACAGAGTCGTTAACTGTATATGTGCCGCGTGTGCCCTACTTAAAGTCTAGCGGCCATTTGCTCAGCTTGCCTGCTGCTAAACATGAATGTCTACAATGTATGTTTACTTTGCACTTCTTTCTCTATACTTTAGCTAGAACTTTGTTATTGTTTCTTTTTTTTTTTTTTTTTTATTTTACAAACTCATACTATGACATGAGCATTTTCTAGCTTAATATAAGTTATATTGTGTCTCTGGGGAAACTTTAATGCGCAGTAATGCTGTTAGCTGCCAACAGCTACTTTGCTGCTTCTTTGTGCCCGTACGCAAAACCTCTCTCGCTCTTTATGCCTATGTATAACTGTGTATGTTCGAATGTCTGAAGAATCCTTTTCACTTATCAGCTTTATAAAACGCTAATTCACTTGGCCATATTGTGCTCTCTAGCTGAACCTATTCTCTAACCCTGCTTTCATTTTATACATTTTTTCTTTATTTTTTTTTTTCGCTCTCTTCAATCTTGAGTTGTCTTCAACGCACTCTCCTCATCATCATCATCATCTTCATCGTCGTTATAAATATTTAATGAAACAATTAATATTTTATTTTATCTTCTCTGATAATTATGAGAAAAGCTAGTTACACATATATATATATATATATATATATATATATTTTTTTTTTTTTTGTATTACCTTTGCATTAAAAAATTTCTTTAGTTTATTTTATATGCAAAAATAATAAATTACAATGGCTAGTTATCCTTTTTATTTGTTCTCAGTAGAAAAAGGTCAATTTAAAATTTCATTAATTTTTAGCGTCTATCAGAGGAAAAGGAACAGCAAAGTTTCTCTAATAAATTATGAGTTGCTTTCGAATTTTTTTTTTCCTTTTTTCCGTTTTTTTTTTTTTTTTTGGTGTTTATATTTTTGCGACCTCTTTCTGCCTTTTTTGCTTTAGACTAGACATTCGTAAAGTAATCCTCTTAAGCAATTTCGGTACCGTGATTCAATAAATAAAATGTTGCTCTTATTGCTACTTCACTTTTATTTTTTTCTGAAATTGTCATAAAAATATAAATCTCTTTGAAATTGGGAAAGAGAAGAAGGAATATGAATGAACACAGAGGAAACAATTTAAAATTTTTCCTTTTTTTTTAATTCTCTTCTCTTATATTTGCAGATACCAGCTATTCCTACCATCCTGCCATACACGATGAAACATTTGTGCGCCGCAAACAAAGACGTAATCGTACAACATTTACCTTACAACAGGTGAAATATTTAATTTTCCCTTATTTCGTTAGTCTCAATTCCTATACCCACACTTAGCCAGATATTAGGTTTGTCTGAAAATTTGTAAAGCGTAGAGACCGCGCAAAGGTGACCGCTGTTTTCGGTGGCAAAGTGCGACACTTTGCGATTGCCGACGCCTTTTGTAATATTATTGCACTAACAATAAGTATTTGGCCTTGAGAGAAGGAACTAGGGTAGCCCAAAACTAGCTAAGGTATCTATTTTTCGCTTACAGGAAAATTTGAGTTTATCTGGTTGCTTCACCATAACATACAAAAGCTGAATGTGACGCCTGTAAACGCCGTGCCGCATTCTATATCCTTCGTCCGCTGAATGAGAGATATTAACATCATCTGCCTGTTTACGATCTCTAGTAAAACGATCTTGTCCTCCAAATTTCCTTTTTCTCATCAAAGTACTTCTAACACTGATTGTGAGATATATCAAGACAATGGCCTTACATCTTTCTGTCTATACGCGTCGTTACTGTGGTCAGCGAAACTTTATCTACAAGAGCACCGTCTCTTCTCAACCTAATCGGATTGCTTAGAAAAAGAAGCTCAATTTCTTCATGTGCCCGTCAATCCTTATAAAATTTTTCTTTTGCAAAGGTTAAGACTTTAAATAGAGCTACTAAGCTAGTCTGTCTACCTTTGAAAAAAAGAAGAGTCGATAGTCTGGGCTGCTTATGCTCATTCCACCTTTAAGACCAGGAGTTTATTTCTTTGGTATAAATAAATTACAATTATATGTATATACTGTAGGTGGGCGGAAATTTCTTGCGATTTTTCATTGTGAAATAAAATTATTTTTTTTTTATATAAGGAATAAGCTTTATTAAGTTATATATATTTGCCATTTTACTCAACAATAAATCGCCACTTTTCAGGCAATTTCACTATCCACTCCTCAGAAAATTTCTGATCTTTTGCAGCAAAAAAATGTTCTATATATAAATTTACACTGTCATCTGAGTTAAAAATTTTGCAGAGAACGGAAAAGATAGCAATTTGATGACGCAATGTTAAGACTATATGGTGCATGTGGTAATAAGTTCTAATAATTTTTGGCGGGTAACGAAAGAACTGTGAAGCCCTACATGCGGTGGTGAAAAGCAACATTTATTGGTTGAACAATCCCGGTCATTTCTGCTGCAAGGGTCCATTTAATTTGGTTAGTTGTTCACAGTATTCCTGAGAACTAATTATTTTGCTACGCGGCAGAAGCCTATAATAGACAAATCCTTTAAAATCTCATCATACTGACAGTGAAATCTTCATGGATATCCCGTTCTGATGTTTTCCATTTTTCATCATCAATTATAATTCTTTCTAGTAACGGTTCGTTTCGATTTTGGTTGAACAGCATATTGGAAATACTAATGCGTTATCTAAACCATGTAGAGTCCAAATATCCGGTTTCTTTGTAAATCTCAGTCTTTTTATGCGATCATTAAAACTTGTTTTGGATGAATTAAGTTTTTATGCAAATCTCAGGAGTCGTTATGTGTCGATCAGCTGCAACCGTAACGTTTATCTCAGTAGTATATAGCCTAACAGAAGAGCGGTAAAGTTTTCACTGAAAAATTTCCAGAATGAAATTTCGCACATCAATTTTAACAAGCGCGTTATGCCAAAACATTAGGTCCATGCACAGCACATACACTCTATGCGCTTCTGCAGGTGTGTTTTCTGTTTTGAAACAAAACACTAAAATATGTCTTTTATGTTCACGCTGATCTTCCATTTGCGGAAAAGTCGCAATAAGTACTGTGACTACTTAACATAGTTCGACCAATGTTTTGCCACTTAATTGATTTTTAATTCTATTCTATAATTGATAAGAAAAGATAAAACTCATATAATGAATGTCCGAATATTCTTGGGACGTAAAGGTAGCAGAAAATTCTCTACCTAAAGTTATTGGATCTAAATGGATTGGATAATAGTTAAAAATTATGTGTATTTCTCATGTTGTTTGTATTTCGCATTTAGTGTGTATTGGTGTATTTCTTATTACTGTTTTCGATAAGCTTTGATCGTTTTCGGTATAAAACATAGTAAGTTCTTAACTTCTTTCCAAAGTTTTTCGTTAATTTCGTCTATGTTTTGGTTAGATTCTGTTAATTTGCCATAAAACTATACCAGACGTTACGAAAATCAATCTCTTATAATTGTTACAAAATGCTTTGGATCCAATTTACTGATAGAGGGACGGCAGTTCACAGCTTTACACACAGGAACGTCCTCATTTTGCACTGCAATGTTGCAATGTATGTTGTGACAAAATATAATAAAAAAAAAAAATTAATTTCTTGACTGCGTTCTCTGGGCTTATTATATTCTTTGCAAAATTCCTATAATACTTCTTCACGAATAATAAAACTTTTTTACTTTATTGCAAACCCATAATAGTGCGAATAAGGCACATTTACCGAACAAGATGGATGCTTCAGTAATATGTAACATAACCAGAACTTTATTACGAAGTTTGGAACCTTCTATGAATCCAAAATTTTATTTTCATCTTACTTGATTTAAGAGTTCGAGAATTATCAATTAATACTAGCGACTGGATTTTCATTTTGTAAAATATTCTATCCTCCATTTAACTGATCAATGGACTAAGTCTCTTCAGCCCGTCTATTGTAAAAATAATCTTGTTAAGTATCCCCAAGGGCCCACCGTCTATTATATGTAGCGTTTTCCCTTACAAACAATGCAAGTGTTGATCGGAGGGATTGAGCCAAAGATTTAAATCGGAGTTTCAGGTTAGAATATAGCAAATACATGCGTGATTTGCAAAATTTTCACAAGGTTGCCATGCGCAGTAGCTACTTCATTAAGAGATTACTGCCATTTCTAGCTATTGGAAGTTAGTTCGGTCAGTTTTTCAGTGGTCAAAAACGCAATTATTTCAGAGCAAATTGAGTGAACAGATAAATCAAAGTATTGACCATTTGTAGCTACTACTTTTTCTCACCTCTTAGGCTCTTATCGATTTCCATCTCAAAAAATGTCTGGTCTTCCGAGGCTTTCTACAAAATAACCCATATATCGATGCTTACAAACAATACCTCATCTATTGAAACCCATGATAATTAGAAGAAGTAACGCTTACTGGTAACAGTAGGGAGAGTGGTACATTCCAGGTTGGAGTTACAAACATTTTCTGGGCGTGTTCTGCTAAACGGGGCCGAATTTCTTTGTACTAGAAGCGATATAATTAATTTTGGTGTATCACGCCCATTTTTTACAACAACAGTACTAATTATTGTTGATGGCATTCCGGCTGTGCCAAATCGTAATACATCACGCACTGCCGATCCACATCGTTGCACCCTCAAGTAAAGCCACAATGGATATTCAGCTTTACCGTCGGTAATAAAGGTTCACATAGGCTGTATCACGGATTCTTGGGCTTTGCATATCGTAATGGATTCATTGTTCATCACTCACAACTGTTTACCTATCGAATGTTTTGTTTGTCGGTGCACACTCAAACTCAAAGAAACTATGTTACCTACGCTTTAATGTGATAACTGAAGACAGTGTCACATTACACAGTGTCTTGTCTTAGAAAACGGAATGAACTGTTATGTGAGCATCGTTTTTTTGCTCCATTATAAAACTTTCCGTACGACTAAGGGTCCACAAATATGTTCACCATTTAACAGTCTTTTGTTTTCTTCCCGAAAACATTTCAATTATCATAGTGGTTATCATAATAATAATTCCTTTGTTACTTCCACCCAAGTGAACGGCGTGTATCAAAAACCACGTAACTTTTCTCTTGTTTTCCCTTCTTTTTTATTTCTTTAATTAGTTTTTTTTATTAGTTTTTTAGTAATTGTTTCCTTTTTTTATGTTTGTTTTACGCTTATCCTCATCAAAAGCTGGAAGAACTTGAGACTGCATTCGCTCAAACTCATTATCCGGATGTGTTCACACGTGAAGATCTAGCCATGAAAATTAATCTGACGGAAGCTCGTGTCCAGGTGAGAAGCTTAATTTCATTTATAATTTTCTGACTTTAAAAAACTCATTTTTTTCTCTCTTTGCCAAAATGCTTAGAGAGTAGATTCGAATTGAATTTTGTTTTTTTTTTTTTCTCCTATGTTAATGTGATTGTGGCATTTTGTATGTTTATTATATGAAAGATTGTATCATATTTCACTTGAAAATCCTCATCTAAAGCGACCCTAATTTATATCGAGTTAAGATTATTTTTTCCTTTTTTATTTATACCTTTAAAGTGTATTGTGCAGAGTGCATTTAGGTCTAAAGATCAAAGGATTTTCTTCTTTGCTAGTCTTAATATTTCTTCGTACTTTTGAATTTTAAATGTTACTTTATTGAAAGTTACATGTTTTCATAAAAGAATCCCGCTTAATAAAAAACATCACTAACAATGCTGCAGGGCTTTAGAGCAGAAGGTAGCAATATACTAAATACATCGTCAAGTTTGCACCACTCGAACGTGCAGAAGATATCATCCGGTGGATATATCCTCCACTAATTTTAGAATTGCTGCTAATTTGATCAAATCTTTGTGTCTGCTTGTCCTCGCCAAGCTTTGATGCAAGTAAAACATTCCTAGAGACGCAATTTCTAACCGATTTAGCCCTAGATTTCGAGGTAGATGATATGCATTTTGAGATAGCCTTCAACGTACTAACTACGGGCATGACCAAAGTGAGACTTGCATTATAATCTTAACATCAAGACTTTACTTCCAAAATTAGATGTAAAACAACAAAAAGTTTCTAAACTAAAACAACTGCAAAGGCTATAGTGGGCCGCGGTGCCGGCTAAAATAGACTACACCACCCTACAGTTATATAGTACACATACTTAAGCCCATTTAGAATTTGATGCTGATCAAGGATATACATACTTCATGGGATCGCTGAAGCTTCTTTCTGAGAATTGCAAACGTATTGCTAAAAGGGATGTACCCCGCTTTTTAGCCCGAGGCTAGAACAAGCCAAACGAAATCTTATGAAATGGCAACACTACTAGTTTCATTTCATTACTTGAAGTTTTGACTAAAAAAATTCGAAATGCTATCCGGAATGTTCGTCGTCTGCTTCAAGCCTTTAAAGCAAATATAGAAATTCTCAGGCATCAGTTTCTGAATTTTATTGTGAGTATTGTCGTTTAGAGCGATCGAGGCAAAGGGTGGCTTAACATGAGTGTTTGCATCGTGACTCACGATATCCCTTGGTTATTTTAGCTCTGGCGCTTCTAGTGCAGCGGGACAATCCCAATAGGCTAGGGGTCCCGTTACTCTGCTCGTCGTCCACTTGCATCCCACTATTTACAGCTCCCACGCTTTTATGTTACCCACAGTCATATGGTTGAAGAAAAAAAGACAAGGCCTATAAAGTGCTGGGATTTCTTTCATCGTTTTAGGCCATTAAAATATATTGTCGCACTAGCTCACACACTACATCACACCCATGTGAAGCACACAAAACTAGAAGCGAATCCTTTTCCGCTAGACATGAAGGGTGAATGAAAGAATTCTCAGACTCGGCGCGAAAAACTTTCGCGGTACCAAAAAATTTACGGAAAAGCATTACGATGTTATACTTGTCGTTCTTTAAAATAATAAATTCCGGGAGTCTTGTGAGCTAAATCAATCTCACCCATCACTCATCAGTTTGAAGCATAAGGCGCGCGCTAGCTAAAAGTTTGAAATTCGTCGAAAAAAACAAACTACAACAACACTTTCCATTAACATGCTTACAAAAAGAACTAATGCGATATTTATATATTATATTTACTTAAGGCAATGGCTATTGAGAAGATTCAACTCAAGGTGAATACAAATTTCATAGTTATTTTAACATATGTAGGCAAAAGGAGATAGACGGACAGTAAGTTACTTTAAGTGCCCTAATTATGCCGGAAATAGACTCAAAATAAACCACTTTAGTTTAACAATTTCATATAAAAGAAAGTTCACTTAACACGAATGTGTTAACAAACAACTTGAACAAAGCAAAGAAAATTTGCTCATTAAGAACCATGCCGTGATGAACAATTATAAACGAAAAGGGATGTAAAGTTGCAAGTACATGAATAAAAATGCTTTATTAAAATAAAAATTATTATACGCAAACAACTAGATAACCGCCAAGGAAATAACGTGCAAAAGTGCCTTCCTTACAGTTTCGTAAAATAACAACAACAACGAAAAAAAATAAAATATTGTATAAGACACTTTTCCTCACTTATGATGCAAATCTAAATATGTCAGGTTACCACTAATTGCTGGTAATTTCGCAAAATTTATGTTAATCATGGACTGAATTGTAAAACACTAATGCTCTACGACGATGATGACGAACTTTATAGCCTTGATATGATACCCACACTCATGCAATGAATGCATCATAGGTTGTTATCTATCCATATACTTATATGCTTTTTTTTTTCATACTTAGTGAGGCACTTAAGTTACTTTAGTACATACAGTTGTTGTTTGGTTAGTTGCCTATAAATTTTAATAAGTCGCATTATTGTACAGATTTGTGCATCTAACTTGTGTAAATAAATAAATTAGCAACGCAAATTAGAAAATCAAACCAAGTTCTTCTTCAATTCTTTTTTTTTTTTTTTTTTTTTTTTTGCACACACATGGACATATTATGAGGAGAAACTAAAAACAACAAATTTGCATACATTTCATAATAATAAGATGCCAAGTAAATGTAAATTACATATCATATCATAGATGCTTTTAAAACACTATGAAGGATTAATTGCGGATGTTGTGAGCGACATTTTGTAATAATCATAAATATCAACACTAACAATAATTGACCTAAATTCACATGGATAAGCAATCAAATCAAGTAATCAAATGCTTAGCAACCAAAAGAAAAAAAAAAATAGAATCACATAACATAAGTTATATTAGTTATAAGAACAATCGTGTTTTAAGCCTTGAAATATATTCAAAACAGAGAGAACGATTAGTTTTGCAAGGACGACAACCATCCGTAGAATATTAAATTTTTGGATTAAAAGAAGGCTTTATTAAAGCATGTATTAATGATTTAAATATTTAATGGTGTCGACCGTTGTTCGTAGTGCTGCTGTCGTTGCTTCTAAGCGAATTACTTTTCTACGAGGCACATGGTATACAACGAATATCAAATTACATGCATACGTTTTATCATAAATTTTATAACATTTTCATATACAAAAAAAAATATTTTCCCCTTATTCTCCGCTCTTTGCCTCTCACTCTTTCCCACTAAGCAAAGAGTATTTGTTTGAGCTAAGCACACCTTTCTTAAGGTTGACAAGAAAGTTATTTCGTTTTTTAGTATGTGAAATGAAAAAAAAAAATATTTTTATATCGACCATCGTACATGTATGTACAAATGACGACTTACTCGCCTTCTCAAGCAAGGGTACCTTAAGTTTCTGGGGACGTTTGCAACACCCACAGGAAACGGTGCTTGATCGATTTAAGCTTGACTATCCTTTCGTGCACCGACGGACTTTGGCCCAAGGGCGAACACTATTGAAAATTGTTCAGAGAGAGACACTTATTCGACCACTCCCCATGTAAAATCTTATTTTGACCAGTCGTTAGAAAAACAAATATCCCTTAGTAGTAGTATTTCGGCATTCTAAACTGATGTGAAAACTTTGGATCGGAGGGGGCAATCTTTTTGAACCTCTCACCATACAACCGTTTGTATGGAAATTGAATATTTATATGGTAAAAAGGCTCAATAGGCTTCAATACTTCTTAATGAAATTCGTTCATAATAATAATTTGAACTAAAAATTTACCTTACCGAGCTTGGATCACATAGGTCTCTTTCTTAGATCCCTCCCCATATAAGGATTCCAATGGAAGATAAATCTCTATATACTAAATATGTCTAGTTATTAATATTTTTTGGTCAAAATATGAATTTGGATCGCATAAATCTACTTTTTAGACTGCACCGCATATAGGGACTCTCATGAAAGCAAGCCCTTCTACGGCGACAAAGTCTAGTTGGTGGTTTGCTATGATGAAAGGAACTGAAAAATTGTATAATTTTTGACAAGTAAATTAAATTTGCTGAACTTAGACGACGTTACTTAACGCTTTAAGTAGCCTCCAATAGGGGGCCTTGAAGGAAAATTATAAATTAATATTGATATATTATAACGAAAATGAGTAAATGACTTTACTAGACGAAATGGTGTAGGGTATCTAATGATCGTCTCTGATGATTGCAAATCAAAATTTCCATATAAGCTTTGACCACCTACTACAGCAAAAAAAAAGTTGTAACGCCCAACCTAGAACTAAAATGATCGCCTATTAAAAATATTTTACTACCTTAACCGTCATTGATTTATTGAAATCCTTCACAACTTTTAGCGTCTTCGCAGCGTGCTTGATCAGCGTAAGAATTAAGATTAATTCACCCATTTCAAACTGTCAGTCCCTCGGTCTATCAATTGTCTTTTGCTGGCAAGCCCGCAAACTCTCAACACACAGCATGAATAGTATTCCCTCGCAAGCACGACTAGAACTGCAAAGAAACTGTAGTGGCAAACAGTCGTCTGCACCTGTTAATAGTGAGATGACCACTCAGAAATACATTTAACATTCATTTATTCAATAAAATACTTTAAAATTTTCCCATAGCGTTTTGTCTCAGTGAATATCTTCCTAACCGCATTTTAGTTATCGCGTCTGCCACAACTCCGTCACTGCGAAAATAATTTTCTTGCTTTTTTTTTAAGGAAAAAAGACGGTAACTATCTTGTTTATCAAAAGCGCTAAACTTTAGATCTTATTAACGTAAGGCTATCTTTTAGCGAATTCTAAATTTAACGTGAATGTACATTTAAATATAACTTTCCATAAATGCGTGACCTTAAGCCCAGGTTTTCAAGTCCTTACCACTTTTGAAAAATGCTTTTTTCAGCTTAATCTTCATCCATTTTGAGAGCCGAGTATTAAGACGATATGATG